AGAAATAAGCGGGGGGGGGGGAGGGGGGGGGGAAGCACGATTAAAAAAAAAATCATTCATCTACTGCAACAGCCAATCAAATGTCGGCATTTGAGAGATTTATTTTTTTCTTTTGATGACGTCGCCTGACATGAAATAACGAGATCTGTGCTGGCTTGTGTGACAGCTGGAGTAACATTCGTCGCGCTAAAACAACAACAAAAAGGGGCGCTTTAGCCTTTCTCGGCACGCCCAAAGGAATTTTAACATGCATGAATTGTGTTAAAAATAAAAAAAATACAACTTTCTGAAGTTAGGACCCGATTTTAAAAAAAGCAAAAACATTTTCTGAAGTTAGGACCCGGATTAAACAAATAAAACCTTCCGAAATACTATGCCACTGCAACGTTGCATGGCACAGCCCAGCAGATGGCCCTGGTTTCCCTTGGACTAGCCGGAGTTATAAGAGCGTTAACTCCTCCCCCGCCCCCTCTCTCCCCCCAAACCAAAATGTTGAGTGCTTAATCAAGGCTGATGGGACTCATCAAGTGAAAATACAGATTACTTTATTGTTGATGAAAACTTTTGATAGTACTTTAAATGGCAGTGAAGAGGTGTACCTTTTGTACAGGTATTTAACCAACAATTGTGCAGCATGATAATATTAAGGAATATTGTATTTCGCATGAAAATTTGGTTAAAATATCATTACACAGCTTATTTATTCATGTCATTTTGTTACAAAAAAAATCCTAGCACAGACCCAGAAGATTTTTAAAAAATAATAATTTTTCGACTTTTCTAGGGATCTTGACAATATTAGCCTCCCTTGAGTCAAATTTCAAATTTCTAGGTTAACAGGAAGTAGTCCATTAATTCAGACCTCTTTTTGTGTGATTAATCGCTACATATACCGTTGCACTTCCTGTTACCGTACAGGTTTAAATTTTAAAAAACTCAACTTTATTAGCTTATTTCTTTTTATATTGGTTCAAAGTTCTGGGTCACACAGATCAAAAGGTCCTCAAGATAAATGCAAAGCACCACTTCCACTTGCAGTCGACTGTTGATAGAAGCCAGACCGAAGATGAGATCAGAAATTCACCGTTGTCTGTTGTTCCGTGGCCACAATGCTCCAAACGACATCCTCTTCGTTCATCTTTCGATCAAAGGTCAGCTTGTCATCACACAACCTGGGCTGTGACGAGTTCAGGTCAATATCTAGATCAAAAGCAGGTGGTTCTGTCTCTACCATCCACCCGTCATCGACACGTAAGCTGGTGGCGCCCTTAAATCCGGCTATGACACAACTACTTTAATATGAATTTAAAAAGGGTATTATCATTTTCCTGTAAAAGTTGTAACAGACAATTGGATAGAACATAAAGCCAGTATATTGTTGGTTGTTGATTTTAATTTCAAAAAATTTTGTTACCTGACAAGGGAGATAAAGTCGGTACTTTGGTGGGTGTTCTAGTTCTTTCATTTAGAAAAAAATATTATTAAAAAAAAAAAGAAAAGAAAAGCTTGCTGTAAATAATTGATCCAATTTATTAAAGATCTGTTTATAAATGAAGTCCACATAAACTGTGTTTTAGACTTACGTTATACGCTTTATTCTCAAACCTTCTATTATAATTTTTTTATCAATTAACACAATGTCTCCATTTTTTTTAAATTTCAGACACTGAAGAACGAGGATTCAGATTATTTTTTTGTGGATAACTTTGAAGAGACAAATTGGTGTTTGGTTGTGGTAGGTCCGAATTTTCTTGACACTGATATTAAACTTCCTCAATAGAAAGTCAACGAGCTTTAAAACATGTACAACAGCTTAATGACGTAAGTTGCGTACTCTCTCGTGCTGAAGCCCGTCGTCCCTGAGATGATAAAACAGTGGATTTGGATTTAAGGTTGGGGTTGGGGGGGGGGGGTTGTGGAAGGAGGGGGAGGTCCTACCCCGGGCGGCTATTCTTTATCCATGGAAGGTTGGACGTTTTGGCAAACTAATTTTTTTTTGTCCTGTCAGGGGGTGGCAAAAATCTCGGCCCGCGCCGTGTGTTTTGCACTGACCCTAGATACGTCACTGAACTGAAACAATCAAGATATCAAAGTTAGAAAAACTATGAGACCCAACGTCTCACAGGAATAATTACTCACGTAAATTTAATTATTATTTGTTTCCTTTGAATAAGCTCGTGGTTTATTTTTCTTCCCTACTAAAAGGCTAGTTTTCGAGGTTGCGGTCAACTTTAAACTGACCAGCGGTTGACCAGGACAGAAATAAAATGGGAAGAGACTATTTAAACAAAAATCCCTATAAAATGTCCACCACACGATAACGCAACTTTTATTTGAAACACATTTAAAGTTGTTTGTTATTCTAATAAAAGTGTTCAATATCTGTCTGTGTTTTGTTTGTGTGTTTGTTCGTGTGTGTGTTTGTTTCTGTTTTAAAAATAATAAAATAAATGCGTAAAAAATATATGCTACATATGAATATTGCATTTCCTCCTGTGGTACTTATCACTACATAGATGTTGTAAGCCACCGCTTAAAAGAATATAATAAACGATTGTACTTCAATATAGCATTAAGCGACGTAGACAAAAAGTTCGATCTGCTTTCTTTCTTTTTTTTTTTTTTTTACGATGAAGCGAAAAAGATCGATTTTTTTTTTTTTTACCAGCACGACGGCAAGAGTTTTTCAATACAATAAGCGACGTAGACAAAAAGTTCGATCTGCTTTCTTTCTTTTTTTTTTTTTTACGATGAAGCGAAAAAGATCGATTTTTTTTTTTTTACCAGCACGACGGCAAGAGATTTTCAATACAAGACCTATCTCTAGCCAGAAATGAATGGCTTGGTGTCTGAGATAACCACTGACGAATTCTTGTGGCAACGATTTGGTTTACAATGACACGGTATTAAGGAGCTAAACATAGGCCTTTGAGAGAATAGTTTCAATTAGGCTTTTAAAATAGTACTGTTCTAATAAGCAGTGTCATTCTCTCGGGAATATAACTTATGCCTGGAGAGCGTCTGATTAAACAGTTTTTTTTTTTTTTTGTTTTTTTTTGGAAAAAAGAGAATCATTAAGAGGTAAGCTGTTTTTTTAGAACGTCTAGCTGACTATTAGCTCTGAGGTCAAACAAGGAGAAGATAGTTATTGACAGTAAAATGACTTATGAGTAATAGCGTTGATGGTCTCTCTTATAAGTATTCCCAAACAGCTCCCTTAAAAAAATATTATTGATAATTTTACGCAATTATATATGTAATAAACTTTTTACATTGTATTTTCATTTCGCCTCAGGATTTCCGATTTTTTAAAAATAACATATATTTACAATTTAATGTATTTAGTTGACCAATGCATAACTACTGTGTTTGGAGGAGGACTGCTTTTATAAAAAAAATTAAAATAACACCAATTTAAAATTTAAAAAAGGATAAAATATCGAGTCGATAAAACCTAATGAATCATGGAGATGGGGGCCTGAGCTTAGAATAGTATACGAGAAAATAAGACGCTCTTGAAATGGAGTCAAACATTATAACAGAAGTGCCTCGCGTTTCCACTTGAGAATCACTCGGATTAATTAAGTAACGATCGAGGAATAAACACGATATTCGAATATAAAAATAAGAATTCAGTCATCTTTACATCTAAACAAATGAACTGTGTGAGGTGTCGTATCTAACTCTGATCGTGGATGCTATCTTAAATTATTTTAAACTGACAACTTTCGGAACATATTTTGACCACTCAAAGACAAAACGGACAGGAGTAGAACATAATCTGACCACTCAAAGACCAAATAAATGGACAAGAGTAGAACATAGTCTGACCACTCAAAGACCAAAATGGTCAAGACAGAACACAGTCTGGCCACTCAAAGACCAAATGGACAAGAGTAGAACATAGTCTGACCACTCAAAGACCAAAATGGTCAAGACAGAACACAGTCTGGCCACTCAAAGATCAAATGGACAAGAGTAGAACATAGTCTGGCCACTCAAAGACCGAATGGATAAGAGTAGAACATAGTCTGGCCCCTCAAAGACCGAATGGATAAGAGTAGAACATAGTCTGGCCACTCAAAGACCGAATGGATAAGAGTAGAACATAGTCTGGCCACTCAAAGACCGAATGGATAAGAGTAGAACATAGTCTGGCCACTCAAAGACCGAATGGATAAGAGTAGAACATAGTCTGGCCACTCAAAGACCGAATGGATAAGAGTAGAACATAGTCTGGCCACTCAAAGACCAGATGGACACGCGTGTTCCTCTTCTGCTGTAAAGAGAGTATTTTCAAACTGGACTTTATTTTAGTTATACAAGTCTACGTCTGTTGCTATAGAAACATTGGATAACATTAGAGGATTTTCATGTTTTGGTAACGGTTGCAGATACATTCACATGCAGATAGATTCATTCTTCAACTGTAGATTTATTTATTTTTTTTACTTTGAAACTTGATGATAGCTAAAATGCAAATGAAGTAGTTAAAAATGATTAAGCCAGAGCCACCATTCGCGTCCACTGGGCCTTCTCGCTCCAATGAATATTTCGTTACCCTGACCTCCACCACCCTGGCGGTCAGCCAAAACATGGAGCCAGACATTCTCACCTCCTCGGCCAAAGTCCTCTTCGTCTTCATCAACTGCCGTGTGCTGGCCACCATCGTCGTCCTCTTCGGCATCGCCGCCAACGTTGCCAACAGCATCGTCTTCTACCGCCAGGGCCTCGGCTCCTCCATGAACATCAGCTTCTTCTCCCTCTCCTTGTCCAACCTGTTCTCCGTGGTGGCGTTGCTGTGGATGAACTTCTGCAACACGATCATCGTCGAGTACCTGGAGCTCTACAACATCTCCAACGACATCGTCTACCTCACCGGGGGCTGGCCTTCCGGGTGCGCGCTCAGAATAACCAGCTGGATCACGGCGTACATGACGGCCGAGCGGTGTCTCTGCGTGGCATTTCCGCTCAAAGTAAAAACCATAGCGACGCCCCTGATTATAAAAAGTGTTGGACTGCAATAAAGCTTTAAAATATATTAATAAGACACGAACAAATTGTGTCAATAGAACAATATGAGTTAGCTTTAATAATAATTGTACATTATACAGAATTAAACGTTTCGGCACATGCCTTCATCAGTACAAACAAACACAACACATTTAAATAAGTATAAATTAAATTTACGGTTGTAATGATTTCAGCTATAACCCTAGGCAATGTCCTGGCTCTCATCCCGGAATACGCCTCTGTTTATTACGACTGGAGTTTTATTCCGGGAAAGAATCGGACTGTTCTTGGCCTCGCTTTCAGAAGTAACCGCGCGGAAACTAAAGGTTTGGTGTTTACATTTCACGCGGCTCTAGCGGTGACCTCCCTTGTCGCCCTGGCAACGTTTACGTTTATTTTAATTTTCCAGCTAAAGCAGCGCTCAAACTGGCGCCTGAGCTCGCTGGCAAACTCGAAACAGAACGAGGCGATCTCCGCCCGCGACAAGAGGGCGGTCACGCTGGTCATCGCGGTGGCCATTCTACTGATCGTATGCTACTCTCCAATCGTCAGCACATCCCTGGGGTCATCGTTCGCGCCGGAATTCAGCGTTGCAGGAAGGCAGGCTAACCTGTTCAACGCCTGCTGGTCTTTCGCGTTTCTGCTCGGGGCCATCAGCTCCAGCGTCAACATCATCTTGTACTACTTGATGAGCTCCAAGTACAGACTCACCTTTCAACGTATGCTTGGACTCTGCTTCAAGCATGAATTATGCACCAAGCCAACGTAGTCATTGTCAAGGGTATGAGAATCACTGTGGTTATGGGTAGGGCATTGTTGTCATGTTTGATATAAGGGAAAAGATGTTGAGTTAGAGATTGTACGTGTAGCTGTATCATTTGTGTGAGAGTGTTGTGACGTAATTGTGTAATGGGAAGTGACGCGTTAGTTTTAGTGTTGTTGGAGAAGAGAGATGGCCGTTGTGTGCTATTCAAGATATAGCTTCGTGTGTGATGTTTCTATGTGTGAGGATTTCAACTAGATATATTGTGAAGTTGAACGGCTACAAGCTGTATAGTGAAGTACACTGATTGTCATGTTGAAGAGGCATATTAAATTTATATATTGTATCGAACCGTGGAGTGTTTGTTGAATTGGAGACTATTACTATTGGTTGTGCTGTTCGGTGATCAAGTGGGAGACTTGGCTGGATGAATAGACACTCATTGCCATGAGTGGATGATTTGCAACACAACAGATACAAAGTCTCGATAGTCATGCCGTTTTCCAAGTATTCTTAGGTAGTACTTAGGCAGTACTTGGGTAGTACTTAGGTAGTTCTTGGGGAGTACTTTGGTAGTACTTGGGTAGCACAACCACGATTGGTCTTCATTTTAAATTATATATATTTTATGTATGTTTACGACACAAGTGGCGCATGAACTAAGTCTTCAATGATAAAGTAGTAATGCGACAAATGTCACATATTGCAATACATTTTTTTTTCAATGTTACATATTCTATTCTTATGTAATGCTTAAATGCTTGTCTCTAACGGAAATTAGTAAGTCGCAATGCGGGATTTGAACAAGTAATTCGCGTGATTCCAAAATTTGTGTAACTTGGGTCTGTAAAACGGGACTGTTTGTAATGTGTTCCGTGGCACCGGTCTTCTTTGAACGTCTGTGTTTTATTGATGGTCGAACTGCAGCGATACTCTTGAGGCAATCACAGGTTTGCTGGATGATCTGCTCTGAAATGGACCTCACCGGTTGAGTCTTACGGTATGTCGTAAGGCCATATGCTTAACAGGTGCACCACGGTTAAATTTGTACATTTCCGAGGTCAATGACAGTGAGGGTGAGATTGTTCTCGACCTACTCCAGAGCATGAGTTATAACAAAAAAAGGTATCGACCATGACGTAGTTTGGTAGTCAACCGAGCATTTTATATTAAAGGCCATCGATTTTCAACAATGCGAAGACAACCAGTGACTGCCTCTAAACAATGTTAAAAGTTAACTGAAGTGCTCGCCCTTGAGTGTCTGTTTGATTCCAAAGTGCACTCCATCGTTTGAATGATACAATCTACCTCAATATATGTATATATAAGTGTGTACATATAGTGTAACTCTAAGAGCTCTTCAAGTGACCCAAGCATCACAATTGATGTGAAGGTTATTACTTTTTGATTCAACAAAATTGAATGACTTCCAGGCTTTATATCTTGACCAGCTTATTATTATTATTGTTTTATGCTTACCTTATTGAGCGACTTTGTCGATATTTTCTGGACTAAAGGATTCCACTACTCTAAGTTCAGAGCCCCACCACACACTTCGTGAGTTGATTCATCCAATTTGCAAAGCACTTGAAGAATTTAGGCAGACATTCTCCAGTATAATGAGATGTAATATTTTGTGTGGAGATGAGACCAAAATTTGGACAAACTCTTAAATTATCCCACAATTTATGCTGGAACTTATCTTCCAATTGGATGTCTCTGGTTGTGGAAACTAAAATCAACTTGACTTAAAAACTTTGATAATCAACATTGATATTTCTGTCTTATTCATCATTTATATTTTATTAAAATAATATTACAGAATAACCGTTTTTTAATGTGTTCTTTTAAGGCAAGAGCTTCCGCGTGGAGAAATGTTAAAAGATTCACTTCATTCTTTATGTATCAATGAAACGCAAGGAGGTGAATAGCGAAGGTAGTGGCTCGACAATCTTCAGTAGAGATGTGTCATGCGTGGTAAAACCGCAAAGGCAGATTGTCTCTGCCAAGAAATTAAAAGTTAATGTTGAAAGTGGGTCTGGCACAAAACTAGGACCAGATATCGAAAGTGAAATCTGAAAGTGGGTCTGGCACAAAACTAGGACCAGATATCGAAAGTGAAATCTGAAAGTGGGTCTGGCACAAAACTAGGACCAGATATCTAAAGTAAATGCTGAAAGTGGGTCTGGCACAAAACTAGGACCAGTTGAACTCTCTTTTATCGTTTCAAAAATGAGACACACCAGCGCAGTTGTGACAGTAATTATTTTTTACAAATCTGTGGAGGACGGGAAACACAATTTGACATCGGTTTTAATATTTGTTTCGTTTATACTGTTCTTTTGTCTTTAATAACGATGAGGATGAAAACGGATTGGAGTTAAAGGGTTATGACGAATGAATGAAGTCGTAAGAATTCCAGGATAGAGACTGTGGGGTTGAGTTTTTGTGTTGAATTTCGTTATATTTGCTTTGTAAAATAGTTACCACAAAATTATTTTATGTAAAAAAAATAAAAATAACAAGGAACCACAACAACACAGAAGCAGCACCATTTGTTGGAACGGGATGTGTCACGTGACTTTAAATTTTGCGTGCTTGTAATCGTTTCACTTCCTGTGGGACACTTCCGGTTAAATCTGATTTGGTCAAAGGTTTAAAAAAAAACTAGTGCGAATGTTTTTTTAAACTCCTATGTTTTGAAAAACGTTAAATGGTTCGACTCTTTGTGCTTGACTCGAAACGTTAAATGGTTCGACTCTTTGTGCTTGACTCGAAACGTTAAATGGTTCGACTCTTTGTGCTGGACTCGAAACGTTAAATGGTTCGACTCTTTGTGCTGGACTCGAAACGTTAAATGGTTCGACTCTTTGTGCTGGACTCGAAACGTTAACATCTACAGAAGCCTTGACACTTTAATGTGACCTCCTTTTTTTTCATGAGCATTTCTCCAGACACTGTATCTAAATTTTAATGTGTCAATCAAACGCTTAAATAAAAATGATGGAGAATCAAGAAACCGTTTCATTGGACATTGGAGCCTTTCTCAATGCCAGTTCGAGTGACACCCGATATTTCAAGTCAGTGTTAATAATTAGCGATTATGAGAGGGTCGTCGTAATTCTTGCGATCCGCATCGTCCTCGGAACGTCGGTCGTGTGTCTCGCGACGATCTCCAACGCCATCAACATGGCCGTCTTCGCGCGGCAAGGGTTGGACAGCTCCATGAACCTGACCTTCTTCTCCCTGTCCGCGTGCAACCTCGTCTCGGCGTTGTTAATCCTGTGGATGAACGTCAACGCATCGCTGGTCTTGTTCGGCGGAAACCTGCCCGCTGGACTCAACGACGTCGTCTACCTGACGGGCGGGTGGCCCACGGCCTGCATCTTCAGGACCGCCAGCTGGATCACCGCGTACATCACGGCCGAGAGATGCGCGTGCGTGGCGTTCCCGTTGACGGTCAAGCGCGTCATCACGCCTTTCAGAACCGCCGGGGCGCTGGCTACGCTGGCCGCGGTGAATGTCGCGGCTCTGGCACCCGTGTACGCCTCCGCTTACTTCGACCGGAAGTTCAACGCTGAAACGAACTCGACGTCCGTCGTGTTGGCATTCGGCTCGAACCGGGACTTTAACGAAGGGGTCGCGTTTATTCTCCACGCGTGTTTGATAGCGACCTCCCTCGTCCTCCTGGCGGCGTTCACCTGTGCTTTGATTGGACAGCTTGAACGGAGCTCGAGGTGGCGCAAGGATACATCGTTCAACGTGAAACAGGTCGAAACGATGTCCGTTAAGCAAAAGAGAACCATCGCCCTGGTCATCGTCGTGGCCTGCGTGATGATCGCCTGCTACTCGCCCCTGGTGACGCTTTCGGTGGTGGAGATTTTCGTCGACGACTTCAGAGAGTCGGGGACATACGGCAACATCTATAAAATCAGCTGGGCCGCTTCGTTTGTCCTCGGCGCGGTCAGCAGCAGTGTCAACATACTGTTTTATTATAAGATGAGTTCCAGGTACAGGGACGCGTTTCGAGAGCTTTTCCCGCTCTGTCTGACACTTAAAACCAAAGTCTGACTTAGAAGAGCATAGCTCATCGTCATGGCACAGGAGATTAAAGATACGAATGAATGCTATATTGGTTATTCGGCATATTACAACTGTTGTGCTCATTGACTTGTATATTTATAGAATTAAACAACGCAAAAAAACTAAGTTTCCTAATAAATAATTTATATGCATTTTTTTAAATTAGTTTATTTTATATAGATACCCTTAGGTCCCATCCGCTGTTGCACCGCAAATTTATTTCATCAACTATTTTAGAAAAAAATAAAAGATACTATTACGGACCAAACGCACTTGCGATATTTTTTTTAAAAAGGATCTCATTTAGCGCATTTATCGGGAATTTTATTTAATGAAATTAGTGACATCGAATTCCCTTCGCCTTCCCCTTGAAAAAACTGGAAAAACTGATTTTTGGGGATTGGGGCTGCAACTTTAATAGAATGTTTTGTCATCGGCAACAATTCTATGTGTAAAGTTTCAGCTCGATAAGTTGACTGAAAGCTGGTCAGTTAGCCGTCTGAAGATTTAGCCCTAAACATACGATTTCAGCTCGATAGGTTGACGAAAATTGTTTCAATTAGACGTCCAAAGATTTGCTCTAAGCATACAAAAGCCAAGTAAATTTAGATGATTAANTATATATATATATATATATATATATATATATACATATATACATATATATTTATGTGTACTGTGCGATTTAAAAATAATAGAAAGAAAGCCATTATAAAATTAAGGTACATTTTTATAAATTAACATAAATTTTGTCTAAAATTTAAGAATTATAAGGTTTTTTTAAGACTCCCAAAAGCTTGACACATTTACTTTTATTTTTTTTTTACATCGTTCAACCGTTCTCAAATCTGTCTTGAAATGGTGGCAGCTTTTACAGCACTGTCCCACCTCTGTCTATTCCTTTTTATGTAAAGACTACTTGAACGGTATGTGCCGTATTATTGTGTTGAGATTTTATATGCCCTTTCACCAGATCAACTGGCTTAGCCCACCATTTCATTCTTACACAAATCTTCGTAGTTACTCACAAAATGCATTCTTTTCTTTTTTCGTACACAAAATATAATATGTTTTACATTTATGTCAAAATATATCCTTGTTGTCGAACACAAAATACATTTTTTCAGATCACACAAAAAAGTTATTTGATTACACAAAATTTTTTTTTTTATTATCTCACACAGAAAATATTTGTTTCTTATTTTGCAAAACACACATTTTTTCCCTATCTTACAGTCTAAAACAAAATGCAAATTTAAAAAAAACAACGGACCAACTGTTGCCTGACCCAGGCCCGCACAACATACGACCCGCGGGCCACATTCAGCCCGCCAGCACCCACCTTGCAGCCCGCGAAGTAAAGAATTATTATTTATTATTTCTATTTTCTAAATAGCTTTCCCGTTCCCCTCTGTCCTATTTTCAATCGGTCCGCACATTTCATTTGACACTACGGCCCACCTTACATATTGAATGGTGCATATCAGCATGACGATCATTTGTGTGTGTGTGTGTGTATGTGTGTGTGTGTGTGCCTTTTCTCTCAATCCCTTCCAAATAGAATCAATGTCATTTTACCATTTATCTCTGATAGAAATCACTTTTGTGAACAGGTTCATTTAAAACATTTGAAAAATGCCCTGAACTCTGGCCTCATTTTCAAACAGATGGCAAATATGGCAAAAGTGTTCGTCAAATCGAAGGCCATCAAAATTCTCGATGTCAGCAAGTACATGTCGTTGTAAGTTCCTAAGAAAGCCAACTCTGGCTCCGCGAGCTGCGCAGCGCAGAAGAGGATCGGTGGCAGCAGATAGAAGCTGAGGAAGATAAACGTCACCAAAAGGAACTTGGTCACGCCCTTTTCTCTCTGAGACAGTTTAGGTGGAGAGTTCGCCTTACGCCGGTCCGGTGTAACGGCAGAGTTGGCGGACCGTTTTACAAAATACACAGTCAAAATTGAACTGGTGCTTACAACGCAGACCGTGACTGACGGAATTGTCACACATAGGGAGAGGTAATATTCGTTGATAACTTCACTGTGCGATAAACAAAACTCGCTGCGTTCATACCGAGGGAGTGTCAGGTTAAATTCCGAGCCACATTCTGGCTTGACAACGTCAGAAAAAAATGTGACCGTGCATACAGCGAAAACGAAAGCCGAAATAGAAACCACCATAACCAGTGTAAATCTCGGGGATAACGTCGACCTGGCTTTAACCGGAATGGCCACGTACAGGCATCTCGTGATGGACAGGTAAGCAACGAGGGCCCATGACTCGTGCCCGGCGATCGTGACGAAACCGTCGAGGTACGCTCCGGACGCGTTTCTCCAGATGGCGCCGAGGTGTTCCGAGACGAGTCCAATCGGCCCGCACACGCGGTGTAGGAGAGCGGACAGGCACCGCGTGAAGTTCCAGAAGCAGACGGCCATGATGGGGATGGCGACGCTGACGTGGTAGCTCCGCATGCGGCTATACGCAAACAGCTGGATCGAGTTCGCGAATAACCCACACGTGGCGACGGCTAGGATTAGCCACACGTTGATGTATTCCTCAAAAAACGCCACAGTCTCCGCACTCACCAGCATTGCGATTGTGGATGGACACAGAGAGAGAGAGAGAGAGAGTTGCAGCTTGCAACTAACGCGGCATCAAACATGAAGTCATCAATGAAAACCTCATCGGCCTGGACCTCGATGACATCATCTTATCAGTGAACTAAGATGAATCGTGAAATAACATTCAATGACTATTACCGCTTGAACATAAATTCTATTTTTTGTTTAGTGTAAAGCTTGAACAGTGCTATCAAATTCTCTTCGATGAGATGTTGGTTCTTGTAAATGAATTCTGTAAAGCTATTCAACATTCACCAATACCCCAGAGGAAAAAAGGCTCAAACGCAGACCTAGGCTTAGGTGGATAGATGATGTAGAAAAAGATCTACACCAGCTGAAAGTCCAAGCATGGAAATGAAAGGCATTAGTCTGAGTGGAAGGAAGTGGTGAAGCAGGCCAAAGCCCTCCATGGGCTGTAGCGCCACAGGGATGGATGGATTCAACATTCAAAATGTTTGTAATAACAAAACGTAAGAGATTGATTTTCCAACTGTTCCTTTGCATTAAACTTAAATTAATGTAATAACAATGGAGAATTACAATATAGTTAAAAAATATCCTATTAAAAAAAAATCATCAGATCTATAAAGAAGAATCCGTTTCTCCGGTCAAATTCAGTTCTCAGACACATATAAATAGTTTATGACGTAATGATGGCGCAGCACAGTAGCCACTGGCGTGTGGAAAATGTCTTCCTGTCAGCTCACCGCTACCGCCCACTAAAACCAGACTCTAACACTTCTAGGTATCAGCGGAGCGTGTATAACCGTCTATTATTTACATGTGTGAAGACTTCATGAAGATCAAGGACATGCACATATTGATTATGTTAAATCGATCAGTTTAGCACAACACTCTGGGGTGTTCGAACACAATCTAGAAAAACACACGACAAACACACACTGCTCTGCAGTGTTGCTCGAAAATAAACTTTTTTCCTCGCCGTGATTTTATCATGCATGTGGTCCATGAAATTTCCACAACGTGTGTACGCTGATGTACTGTCAACCTGTTTCCGATACTAGAACACCATGAGATTGTCCTCTCTTTACCTTTGAAAATCTTCAACTTAATTCGTCACTAAACAAAGTTTATTGAGGATCAATGATGATGTATTAAATACGGGCTTCATCGATGTTGGAAAATACTATTGTACTTGAACTGTTTTCTAACATTATAATTTCCCTTTTAGCCGAGTTGAAAACGGTGTAATCACTTTTTATACCCCCCCCCCTTTCCCCCAACCTGTCTTTCAACTCCAAAAGCACGTGTAAAGCAAACACATCTGTAATATCACACGCAATAGCAAACACATCTTCAGCCGATCTATTGGGCACTTAAGCGTGTTTTTAAGAGCTGTATAAATACATCCATTAGTGGTAATAGGATGACTTGAGTGCAAAGGGGAGGCCTAACATACAATGATACCGTTTTACAGAGGCGTCTAATCCCCTGTATGTGTAACAATGCAGTTTAAATTGAGGTTAAGGATCCTAAACTGCCGTTTGGATGAGTATGAGTGAAATTGTTGTTGGGGAAGTTTGTCAAATCATTTAAGATACGAGACACCAAAGGTTTCACGCTGGTACATATTTCGGGCCAACAGAACATACACATTTTACATTAATTCATTTAAATAACATAATAAAAAAAAAGAAATGAACTCAATAAGTCTCAGGTTTAGAAAAAGCCATGCAAAATTAGAATTTGTAAGACTTGCTACTGTACACTGGAAACCAAAAACATTAGCCTCCCTAACGGTACTTTTACCACGAAAGACGAGTTCACATAATATCTTAGCCGCGAAATGGTATATGTGATTGTTTGTCGTAGATGCCGCTCATGTTATACATGTGTGACGGGAGGAGATTATTCGATAGGTCCAGGGGAACATTCTTAGTGATATCGAACAAGGCAAATTATCCCCAGTCTCCTTCCGTTTCAACGAAGATAAACACAAATGAAAACTATCACGGCACTCATTCCCTGCACTAATACACCAGCAAGGGGGAAGAATTTTAATGGAAAAAAAAACAAATTATTACAGATTGTCGACACCAAATCACCACATGGAGTAAAACAAATTCTCTCTTACTCGTTTTCTTCAATTTCCTCGTATTTATTTTCTTATTTCTCATATTTTATATATTCTTAATATTTTTTGGGGGGTTAAAATCTTACATTTCCCATTAAAGATACCTTAATTTGTTTACTTCCTGCAATCTTTTGGATAGTGCACATGTTTCGGTTTTGGACCACCTAACTTCCGTCAATTATATACCACTTCCGCTCCTACCATTTACATCCAACACGGCGAACTCGAGATACTTCAGTTCTTGAACTCATTTTATTTCTTTGTTGTTTCTTGTCTTGTCTGCCGAAGAAGGCTTTTAGCCGAAACATTCTCCTTACATCGTCCTATCTTCTCATTTCAAGAGTTCCACATAACTTATTTCACCATTTCCTTCTCACAGCTTGAACGCAGTCCATGATTTATTATACTATAAATAAGGCATGGGACAGGTTTGCCACCGTCCAAACATTTGAGCACAGACTGTAGACGTTTGTTCTGCAATAATTTGTCGGTAAAGCTCCGAATGAACTTTAGGTTGTCCGTTAAAGTGGAAAGTTATTGTGAAGCGAATCAAATGAGAGATCTCAGCGTTTGTGGCTTCTCATTGCTCACATTAAACTTGCATGATCAGAATCAGGAGAAATCAAACACTAATGTAATAAACTGACACTACTCGGCATGCTATATGCACATCTTTGTTAAGTATAGATGCAGATGTATTTGGGAAAATATTGGTGAAACATTTATTACTAGAAAATTTCAAAATTTCAAAGAAAATCTAATAAAAAAACTGAATTAAGAAGGGTCAAAGGAAACAAATATGAAAATAACGTTAAATCTTAATCGTAAGTTTTGTTTAGAACAGCAGTTTTAATGGTACCGTCTATATTTCTGCAGACGGCACTTTGAATATTGAGTAGGACCTAATGCGAGGGAACTGAAATCGCTAAAGGGCAAAGGGCATTTCAAGACCTCAATCCGGCCTTGAAAATAGCTACGTCATCACCTGTGAACGAGTCGAACATGGGACGAGAGATTGGCCCTCTTTGTAAACGGTGCCCTACTAGGATAGGCCTCTTTGTAAACGGTGCCCTCCTAGGATAGGTCCGGCCTTGAAAATAGCTACGTCATCACCTGTGAACGAGTCGAACATGGGACGAGAGATTGGCCCTCTTTGTAAACGGTGCCCTACTAGGATAGGCCTCTTTGTAAACGGTGCCCTCCTAGGATAGGTCTCTTTGTAAACGGTGCCCTACGAGGACAGGCCTCTTTGTAAACGGTGCCCTCCTAGGATCATAACTAAAGATGTTAAATGAAAGCCGGACTTCCAATGTAGCGGTCCACGTGTACGCCTGTCCGGATTAAGCCAGTGGTCAGTCGGGCCTAGGTCAAATTAAAAGTCGATTATTAAACTGAGCTAGGCCAAACTTTACAAGGAGGTTATACTGAGCTAGGCCAAACTTTACAAGGAGGTTAAATTGGACTAGGCCAAACTATATAAGAAGGTTAAATTGCGCTAAGTCAAACTATACAAAGAGGTTAAACTGACCTAGGCCAAATTATAGAAGGAGGTTAAACTGGACTAAGTCAAACTATACAAAGAGGTTAAACTGATCTAGGCCAAATTATACAAGGAGGTTGGATTGCGCTAAGTCAAATTATACAAGGAGGTTTAACTAGAATAAGCTAAACTATACAAGGTAGTTAAACTGGACTAAACCAAACTATACAAGGTGGTTAAACTGGACTAAGCTAAACTATACAAGGGCGTTAAACTGAGTTCAGCTAATTTATACAAGATGGTTAAACTGGACTAAGCTAAACTATACCCCTCAGTAGTGTACAGTGAAACATTTTATGTCGTGGTGGGGCGAGTTTGTCGGTTATGTTGTGTGTG